GAGAAGCAGCTTCTGGAGTAGGGTAAGTGGTCTGGAAGAGCCTCTGGCATTCGCATGGGATAGAGTGCTTGACTGCGAGTCCTGTTTTCAGTGTATGTGAGTCTTTAGATGGGTCTCTGGCTTCTGGCTGAATTAATATACTTAACTAAATATGCAAAAAATATAAAAAATACATGCGCAAAATGTGACAATGAATTAAAGTGTTTGTTCTCCAATGCCAGAAGTCTGCTAAGCAAAATAGGTCAGTTGGAAGCTTTGGTGCATGAAGAAAACTATGATTTAATTGGTATTGCTGAATCTTGGCTTCATTCTTCACATGATTAGACAATTAATATTCATAGTTATGCTCTCTTTTGGAGAGACAGGGTAAAATGTAAAGGTAGTGGTGTCTGTCTCTATGAGAGAAGTGATCTCAAAGTAAGTGTGAAACAGGACCTAGTTGGTGGAGAGTGTGATGAGGATGAATCATTATGGGTGGAACTGTATATGGGTGTGTGTACTTCAAAGTTAGTCATTGAAGTTTGTTATAGGCCACCCAGTGTTAATAAGTAGGTGGAGACTCAGCTCCTTGCACAGATAGAAAGAGCTGCAAGGGATGGGACAGTGATGATAATGGGAGATTTTAACTACCCTTAAATTGACTGGAGTAATGGCACTGCTGGGATAGTTAAAAAAAGTATAAACCCATTAAAAGGCAGTTTTATGGTACAGTTCATAGAGGCCCCAACTAGAAATGATGCTCTTCTGGACCTGGTAATCTCAGGCCATGCAGAGCTTATTAATAATGTTGATAGAAAAGAACATCTGGGTAGCAGTGACCATAACACAATTTTCTTTAATGTTAGCTGTAAACAACAAACACATACTGGAAACATGAAAACACTTACAGTAACTTTAGGAGAGCAAGACTTCCAGGGCTGCTCTCCAAGACTTGGGAGGGACTGGGAGGGAATATTGGCATCGATGAACACAGAACAGAAATGGGAATTCTTGAAAACTACTGTATGCAAACAAACTGCAAAATATATTCCTGTGAGCAATACATTTAAAAAAACTATAGATAAACCCCAAATGGCTCAAGGCCAAAGTGAAGAAGCTATAAATAATAAGAAAACAGCTTTTAAAAATATAAAATTGGAATATGTAAAAAGGAAATCAAGACCCCAAAAATTCAAAATGAATGACAGACTGCAAAAGAGAGTAGGACAAACCCCCAAATTTCTTCAGATTTGTACTTAGTAAAAAGTTCAGGTTTGAGCATGGAGGCCCTTTACAAATTAATCTGGAGTGGGTGACTGGGGACAAAGAGAAGGCAAATTTATTAAATACCTTATTCAGCTCTGTGTATACAAAGGAGCATGAGGGAGCTCAAGTCTGTATATTAACATAGCCCCAAATGAACGATTATGTCTCAAAATTGATCTGCTCCAGAAATATTTAGATAGAATGAATAGAGCACCTGGACCAGATGTCACCCATGTGTCCTAAAATAATTGAACTTTGTAATTTCAAAGCCATTTTTTCTAATTTTTAGGGACTCTTTAATGACTGGCATTGTACCACTGGATTGGTGTAAGGCCAATGTGGTGCCTAGAATTAAAAAGGGATCAAAGTCTTTACCAAGTAACTACAGACCTGTTAGTTTAACTTCAATCATTGGGAAGATACTGGAGAGTTTAATAAAAGACCACATATATGAGTTTTTGCTGGAAAAAATATTTTAAGCAATAGACTTCATGGGTTTAAGAAAGGCAAAAGTCGTCAAACAAATCGGATTTCTTTCTATGAGGAGGTAAGCAAAAACTTAGACAACGTTTTACACATTTCCCCTCACATGGTTTATGTGTAGGCTAAAGTCTACAGGCTTTGAAAAATTAGGTTGTAAATGGTTAAAAGACTGTATTCAAAGAGTAGTTAATGATTCATACTCTGAATAGTCTAAGGTTATTAGAGGTATATCCCAAGGTTCAGCGTTGGGACCCTTACTTTTTAACATGTTTATAAATAATTTAGAGTTGAACCGTGCAGTGAAATAAGATCCTTCAGGATGTCTCCAACTTACAAGCCGACCTCAATGCACTGGTTAGCTGGGCAACTATGTGGTAAATGAGATTTATTGTTGATAAATATAAAGTTATGCACTTGGGGGCTAAGAACATGCACTCATCATATATACTAGGGGGAGTACAACTGGGAGAGTCAATGGTGGAGAAGGACCTGGGAGTTCTGGTAGATCATACAATTAATAATGGCATGCAATGCCAAGCTGCAGTTTCCAAAATGAACAACATCCTTTCTTAAAAGAGGAATGGACTATAGAGAGAGAGAGATAGAGATCATTTTACCCCTGTACAAATTATTAATAAGACCTCATCTGGAATAAGCTGTTCAGTTTTGGGCACCAATTTACAAAATGGATATCAACTGAATTTATTCTCTCTCTTTTTCTCTGTGGGTTGAACTGGATGATCGTGTGCCTTTTTTCTACCAGACTAACTTATTATTTAACTACCCCACTGGTTATTTATGGCCCTGACATATATTGGGGCTTATCATTACTGACCCAGACACTTGCTGGGGGCTCATAACGCTGGCCTCAGTAGAGCTTATTTTACTTCCAGAATCTCTTCAGTGTACCTTCAGACCCTGTTCTTTCTACTGTATACAAAGGTGGCACACTACAAGTTATAGACCAGGATGAAACACTCACTTTCTTCATCCTCGTTTTTACCACACCCACCTTTTGACAATGCCCACACCTGCGAATTGGATGGCATGCTATGCACGCCGCATCAGCTCCCCTATTTGTGCTTTCAGCACCTGCACAGTACTCCCAAAAACATTGTCTAGAGCCACCCTAATGTACAGTTTTCTTATTGTGTACTTTATTTTTAGCTTGTACTATGAACAGTTTTCTTTGTTTTTAACGTGTACTTTGTTTTTAACTTACATTTTGTACAGTTTTCTTTTTTGTAGCATTTTCACAGGCAAAACTTGCATTTTGATTGTTTTTGTGTAACTTTCTGAATGTGGAAAATAACAAAATGTGTAATCAAACATATATGTGTTTGTCATTTGATAACTGGCTGTGCTTATTTTAGCTGCAATGATAACAAATGCATAGTTACATAGTTAGTCTGGCTGAAAAAAGACAAAAGTCCATCCAGTTCAACCACAGAAAAAAAAAAAAGTTATAATCCTATACCCACAATTGATCCAGAGGAAGGCAAAAAAGAAAAACCAAGCAAAGCACGATCCAATTTGCCCCTGCTGGAAAAAAATTCCTTCCTGATCCGTGGAGAGGCAATCAGATATTCCCTGGATCAACTTTACCTATAAGTGTTAGTCGCCAATTATATTCTAAGAAAGAATCCAGGCCTTTTTTAAAGCAATCCATTGAGCTGGCCAGAACCAACTCTTGAGGGAGTCTATTCCACATTTTCACAGCTCTAACTGTGAAGAAACCTTTCCGTGTTTGGAGATTAAATTTCTTTTCCTCCAGACATAAAAGTGCCCCTTGTCCTCTGTGATGACCTCAGGGTGAATAGCTCTACACCGAGTTCACTATATGAACCACTGAATGTATTTATACATTTAACTGGTGCCCAAAACTGAACTGCATATTCCAGATGAGGTGTTACTAATGATTTGTACAGGGGTAATATGATATCTCTCTCTCTGGAGTCTATACCTCTTTTAATACAAGAGAGGATTTTGCTCGCTTTAGAAACCACAGCTTGGCATTACATGCCATTATTAAGCTTGTGATCTACCAGAACCCCCAGATCCTTCTCCACCATTGATTCCTCCAGTTGTACCCCCCCCCAGTGTGTATGATGCATGCATATTCTTAGCCCCCAAGTGCATAACCTTACATTAATACATGCAAGGTGTAGCTGCTGGCCAGAAGTACTTTTACTTACACCTACTACTTATATTGCTGATCAATAACATACATAACAAATTACATTACTATTCACAGTACATCACAGCATATAACATATAAATCATTACTATGTTAACAACTGATTAAGAATAAAGTGACACATTTTCCCATGGGGCTTAATTATCTATTTGTATCTACTTAGCAAATTATATAATGCCATCATAGCTTGTATAATAATGTATCCCTTCTGGTGGTATACTTACAATAATAACAATTTATTAACAGTTCTTTATGTCACATCAACATATAGTCATGGAGTTGGGGGCTCTATTTCAATTACTCTTTTTGTCAGTGGTGGAATACATGATTTTCAAATATCAAATAACAAGCTTTATCCAAATCCAACAGGGACAGTCTCATCTATTAATTCAGTTTAGCCTACAGTGTCCCTTTAACAAGCAACCTGGATTGGTCTCCCAGTGATTAAAGATGTTTTATATCCAAAGTCAACAATCCTCAGTTAAATAAGCACATTGTAGACTATACCTTTACAAAATACCTTGAATGGATCTTAGGGAAAGCCTTCACATAGTATGTCTGTCATTCTTACACAACTGCACATGATAATACATGTAATGTTCAACATGCAATTGAATTTATATGGCTTTTCCAAAAATTCCTGCAAAAACCTGACCACATGCCTGCACATATTGTAGGTGGTGATCACAATCCACCAGTTATTGTAAATATTATTTACATGTGTTTCACATTCATCAATATATTGCATACAATTCCAACTTTCAAAACCTACTTTGTTTTTCAGATGTTTTTCAGATGTCCAGGTCATAAAGATCATTTGGAGGCCTCCCATGTACATGCTGGTTGATATCTTGTACTTTTTTAATCCTCCCCAACCTTGCAATTAACCGCTTTCTCACAAATACTGCTACAGGGAGGCAGGGCTGTGCAAAATCATGTATATATACGTGATTTTGCATCTCTGGGTAGGGGGCACGCGTGCACCCTACCTGTGCCACCATTGGCAGCCACAGGTTTTGATCACTGGGTCCCAGCCAGTGATTCCCCGCTGGCACCAGACGATCGCCAAGTATCACTGACGGGGGAGAGACCTGTATGTAAACAATACAGATCTCTCCCCTGTCAGCTCCTGCACACTGCTTTGTATAGAAATACAAAGCAATGTACTGACACAGAGAAACACACATACAGTACACAGTAAAACAGCACACAGTTAACTCTTTGATCGCCCCACATGTTAACCCCTTCCTGCCCAGTGCCATTAGTACAGTGTCAGTGCTTTTTATTAGCACCAATCACTGTATTAGTGTCACTGGGGATGTCAGTGACAGTTAGTCAGTTCCCCCCAGTGTCAGAATGCCCACCGCAGTCCTGCAGTCCCTTCAATAAGTCGCTGATCGCTGCCATTGCTAGTATAAAAAAATTATATATTCCAGTATATATACCGCCATTTGTAGAAGCTATTACTTTTACGTAAACCAATTAATTTACACGTATTTGGATTTTTTTTTTTAGCAAAGACATGTAGCAGAATACATTTTGGCCTACACTTATGACGAAATTTGATATTTTTTATTTTTTTACTGGACATGTCTAATAGTAAAAAGTCAAAAATATAGTTTTTTTTTTCTCAAAATTGTCGGTTCTTTTTTGTTTATAGCTCAAAAAATTTAAAATGCACAGGCAATCAAATACCACCAAAAGACACCAAACCAAAAAGGACATGAATTTCATGTGGGTGCAATGTTACATGACTGCGCAATTGTCAGTTAAAATAGCGCAGCACCGTATCGCAAAAAATGGCCTGGTTGGGATGGGGGGTAAATCCTCTGGAGGGCAAGTGGTTAAAGAGGATTTGCATTTTAATCATATCAGTCCAAAGTTTTAAAACAGCACAGCCTGGTCTAGCAGGGGAGAGGATATGAACATTTCTCTTCTGTAGTTTCACGTGCACTAACAGGTCTCTTCCCCACCCTCTATCATGTGAATGAGCATCTGACTGTCACTCTGCCCTCTCCTTCTATCATCATGCTCCTTGCACCTAATTGGTTGCTGGTGTTGCATCTCCCTCCCTCTCTCTGAAGTTTGCTGTACAGACAGTGCAGTAGATTGCATAAAGTTGATACTAGATCACATTCAGGTCATTCCACTGCTTGCATTTAAAAATTACATTAACAATGTATTAATGATTGCAGAGCTGCACATTTTATGTCTTTTATTTCTGCCTGCATTTAAACTTTAACAACTATTCCAGAGCTAGTAGGTCAGCTGAGCTAGAGCTAGTGATATACATTATAGTTTAAACTCCCACATTGTATCTCCTGCAACCTATGCCCTGTCTATTGAGTTCAGAGCGCCCATTAGAGGGTCAGTAGGCCAGTAGTATTGTACTTCCTGCATATTGTAGTATTGTACTTCCTGAATTGCGTGCTATGTAATGTCCTCTCTTCTGATTCATGTTTCATCAATCATAGTCAAATAGTCAAAACCCCAGTTAGAGAGGTTTGAATCTGTGTAGTGACATGTGAAAAAAAATGTTAATACTCAAATTCTTTTACATCAGGCCTTCTATATATGAAAGGTAGATAACAGTTTTTTTTTTTTTTTTGCAGTGTTGGAGATACCCCATACAAAGCCAATTATCAATGTTCTCTTAATATGTTATATTGGGCCCTGACCCCCTATGCAAAATCAAGCTACTGTCATGCTATGTGCCATGCTAAAATACATATAAAATCTCCTACCTAATATTCAATATTACAAAATACATCATATACAAAAACTGACCATAATACATAATGATATTATGGTAGATAGGCTTGTTAAATATCTATAAAGCCGAAAACTAAGCTGTCGGTAGCTTTACTACCAGCAGGGCCTCTCAAAGCGGACAGTTTCTGGTGGAGATAACAGACTAATGATGTACCACCATCTGAGCAGCAGCAGCAGACAGGCAGTGTTCAAGGCAGAAGATCACATTTGATGTGACAACAGTGACAGCATTGAACTTACAGTGCGCAGAAAAAAGGCCTGTCAATCTACTTCTGTATTACACCAAGAGAACTTGATAATGATGAGAAAACTAAGAGAACTGTCATATAGTGCTGAAGGATGGTCCCCTAGGTCAGAAGGCACTCATCATGCTACTAGGATAAGCTGATGGTCACCAAGAGTAAGCCTGGTAATATGAAACTGATGGATCAAAGCCTAAGGGACATCCTAATGTTGAGGTTGCTGGACAGAAAAATGTGATCAAAAGCTGTAAAGACCTTGTCACCATAGGAACATGGAATGTACGTAGTGTGAACCAAGGAAAATTAGAAATTGTTAAAGATCAAATTGATAAAGCCAACATTGATTTTTAGGAGTCAGTAAACTCAAATGGACAGGACAGGGACACTTTCAATCAAATGAACATTGGATATGCTTCTCTGGTCACAAAACGTATATGAAAAACAATGTGGCATTTATCCTCAACAATAATCTCTCAAAGACGGTAATAAATTACAATACTACCAGTGATCAAGTCATCTCAGTCTGTCTACAGGGAAGGCTGATCAATGTCACCCTGATCCAAGTGTATGCTCCAACAACAGATGCAGAAGAGGAGGATGTAGAGTTATTTTTATGAAAAACTTCAAAATGCAATAGATCAAGCAGTGAATCAAGATCTACTAATCATTATGGGGGACTTCAATGCAAAAGTAGAATGTAAATCCAAAGATGCAGTGGTTGAAAAAGATGGCTTAGGAGAAAAAAATTAAGCCGGTGATGACTTTGTACAGTTTTGCAAAACTAACACACTGTCCATCATGAATACACCATTCCAGCACCACAAGCATTGGCTATACACGTGTACCTCTCCAAATGGCATGCATTGTATTCAAATGGACTACGTGCAAGATCAAGGTAAAGATTCACAAGCAAAATATCATTAGAGGCCTTCCAAGATATGATATTAAAAATATTTGACAAAATTACTAGCTTAAACTAAACAACAGGTTTGCAGTTCTGGATACAGGAAATAGAGAGCTGGAAGAGTTATGGAACAATATCAAAACCATATTAAGTGAGGAAGCTGAAAGAATATTACAGATGAAGAAAAAAGACAAAAAGTCACCATGGATTTCAGAAGAAACTAGAAAAGTAGCAGAAAAAAGAAGACAAGACAAAATTTCTGTTAATAGAGTAAAATTATATCAAATGAATGTCTCAATGCCAAATTCGGAAAGATAAAGAAAGATATTTCTATGTCAGGAAATTGAGGCTGAGCATGTGAAAGGAGATTGAGGCAGAAATTCCAACCTATATTGATCACCAATATAGGTGATTTTAAATTGATCACTAATGGACTGATCATTGACACATGAGCTTTTGAATTTGCAAAAGACTCTAAATCTTTGCAAGCAAAAAAGATCATTAGAGGCTTTTCAAGATAAAACATAAATCTTTGAAAAGCATTCCATAAAATTTCAAGATATTAAAAACTAAAACATTCAACCAATTTGTAGTTCTGAATACAGGAGATAGAGAGCCCAAAGAATTATGAAACAATATCAAAACTATAAGTAGCGAAGAAGCTGAAAGAACATTACAGATGAAGGAAAAAGCCAAAAAGTCTCCTTGGATTTTAGAAGAAACTAGAAAAGTAGCAAAAAAAAGAAGGCAAGCCAAAATTTCAGTTAATAGAGTAAAAGTATATCAACTGAATCAAATGTTTCAATGCCAAGTTCGGAAAGATAAAGAAAGATATTCAAAGATATTTGTCAGAAAATTGAGGCTTAGCATGTAAAAGGAAAAACCAGACTAGCTTTTCAGGACATTAAGAGATTGATGCAGAAATTCAAACTTAAATTGGGGATGCTTAACCATTTCCCCCCACCCTATAGCAGAAGTACTGCTACAGGGCAGCAGGGATGCGCAAAGTCATGTATATATCCGTGATTTGCATTCCCGGCAAGGGGGCGCGTGCATAGTAAAAAACAACACAGCACATAATGTAAAACACACACAGCACACAGTTAACCTTTTTATCGCCCCAGATGTTAACCCCTTCCTGTCCAATGTCATTAGTACAGTGCCAGTGCTTTTTATTAGCACTGATCACTGTATTGGTGTCACTGGGGATGTCAGTGACAGTTAGTTCCCACCCAGTGTCAGAATGCCCGCCACAGTCCTGCAGTTCCGCAGTCCCTCTATAAGTCGCTGATCGCGACTTTACATTACTACTATAAAAAACAAAATAAATAAAAATTCCAGTATATGTACCACCATTTGTAGACACTAACTTTCACATAAATCAATTAATATACATTTATTGGGATATTTTTTTAGCAAAGACATGTAGCAAAATACATATTGGCTTAAATTTATGAAGAAATGTTATTTTTTAACAACCTGCACTATGCAGATAACACAATGCTCATCACCAGCAGCAAAGAAGATATACTGTATCTACTGAGAAAAGTTAAAGTAAAAAATCATAACATGGGATTAGTACTGAATATAAACAAGACAAAGATCATGAACACAGAAAATGACACCAATTTTAAGCTTGACGGTGATAGACTCGAAGTTCTAAATCATTTTAATCTCCTAGGTGCCCTCATAAAAAAGTAAGCAACCAGCAGTGATGAAATATTCCGAAGAATTGCACTAGCTACACAATGAAGACTTTCAAAAAAGTTTTCAAATGCAAAAAAAAATTCCACTGAAAACAAAGATCAGACTTGTCTATGCTCTCATTTTCTGAGTTTTCAGTTATAGTTGTGAAAGCTGGACACTACAAAAACAGGATGGAAAGAAGATCGACTCGTTTGAGCTTTGGTGCTAGAGAAAGATTTTATGTGTGCTGTGGACAGCCCATAGAACTAATAGATTGATTTTGGAAGGGATCAAACCAAATGATGAAGTTGTGACTGTCCTATTTTGGTTACACTATCAGAAGGGAGAGATCACTGGAGGAGGAAATAATGTTTGGGAAGATCGAAGGAACCAGGCAAAGAGGGAGACCAACTACTAGGTGGTTGGCCACATTGACTACAGCTGTGGGGATGACACTGGATGATCTCACAAGAATAGCACAATACAGACTTCTTTTAGAGCTCTTATTCATTGAGTCACCAGGACTCAGACTTAAGCACATAATAATAATAATAGTATAAAGTGCAAAAGTGCTTAAATTCCAATTGGAAATTCAGTGGCATAACACAGACAAAAATGTGTTAAAATATATATTACAATAGATCCATTCATAAAAGTAATATGGACAGAAGTCAATTTGTGATCCTCTCAGTTAATTTGTTTGTTTGTGCAGCAAAGGTTTCAGCGCAGTCATCACCATTCCCCAGTGGACACTCTAACCTTAAAAGGTGGACCTTATAAAAGGTGTTATAACAGCATCTTTAAGCTGGGAACAGCTTACACAAGACATGGGTCTCCTTCAACACCTTCTTTTCTGCAGTGCTCTGTAAGTAAAACATAGGAAACACTTTACCTACATAGTGCTCCCTGTTTTCTAAAACACTTTCATTAAAAACAGATTAGAAGCGTACATGAAACTGTGCCCCATATCATACACCAAGTATGTAACATGTTTTGTGTAAGTTTGTTTCCAGTTTAAAAGGAAGATACTGTTATGACCTTTTATAATCTTAAGCTCCATCTTTTAAGGTGAGTGTGTTCACTAGGGAATGGTGGTGGCTGCACTGAAACCTTTGCTGCACAAACTCAAAAAATTAACTCATAAGACCACAGATTGTTTTCTAAGCATATTATTGCCAATGCCAATATATATTGGCAATAGTTACACTGGACAACAATTTTGCTTCCTAAGCACTTTTTGGTGTATCGTATAGATTTATGACAGCTAAACAGGAAAATAACCTGTAATATAACCTATCACATATTTTTTTTATAGAAATCTTCAGTTTTTGCAATATGCTATTTATAATACTTGTTGGCTATGTTGCACACATGGAAGAAACAAACAAAAACATGAAACTGCTGTTTAAGAAAATCCAATGCACCAATTACATCTGGAATATCCAGGGATATCTAAAAGTAGTGGCTCCGCTGGTTGGAAAGCAGCTCAGGTTGCATATGAGAATGGGACAGCCATATACGAGAGTCACATTATAGTAGACAAACACTGAAAGAATTTGGTTCCAGGACAGAAAAAAAAAACACTTGTTGACTGGACACAGCTATTTTTGCCTCTGCTTCAAAACAAACTTGGACTCAAAGAATTTTGTAATGAACACAGAGGGTGAAGGTTTTTGGTATTGCATAAATGTTTCCAAGGGTAATGAAGGAATTTTTGTTGGTCCATAGATCACATAGATCAGATACATCAACAATGACAAGCAGTTAGAATATCTGTCAATGGAGCCGAAGAAAATTACTTGGCATTAAGTCATTCAAGGGAAGCACTTGGGGAACACCAAACTAGATTCAGTTGATTGACAAACTTCTTACAGCATACAAGACCATGTGTTACATGTCACTACAGATTCATATTCTGCTTTCACACTTGGACTTCTTTCCTAAAATCTAGGTGCAGTCAATGGCAAACATGGCGAAAGGTTTCACCAGGAAATTGCTAAAATGAAAAAACAGTATCAGGGCAACTGGAGACAAGTAATGCTGGATGACTACTGTTGGACACTGCAGTGAGGCACATCAGACACTGAATAAAAACAAAAATCTGCAGAAAAATACATTTAACCCTGTTGAATGCAGTGGGTTGAAAACAGTATGCGATTAAATACATTATAGTAATTAAAATTTAATCTTGTATTTCTCAAGACTCCTATATGATGCATTTGTTCTGAAATTATATTTGCACTCAGTTTTAAGAGGTATATTATAATTATCAACAGTTTATAAAAAAGCAAATGTTTGAAGGCAGGAGAGAAGGTTTTCTACTCATGTTGTCTAAAGCTTTCTAAAGAAAACATTAAGATAAAGGCAAGCCATAGATGATGTGATTTTCTTTCCTGCAACCATGGGTGGAAGGAGAGAAAATCACTTGAAACCCCTATCAACACAGTTAGTGTTGATGGAGGAATTACTCCTGCAGCACTATTGTGTTCTGCTGGCAGGGAGTCAGCAGTAATCACATGCAAAAAATCAGACAGGCTGGTTGTACTGAAGTTGATCAATGGATCCAGTCTGCCACCAGTTTACAACCAGTATGCCCATAGATGGTACAAATCTCTGTTGGTCCCTGCTAAACCACCTGAGATTCGATCCATTCATGGCTTAAGAACACCTTTTGTTTCAATGCACCTAGAATATAAATATTTGATTGAAACTAAAAATCAACTTTGGCCTTAAAGTGGAACTATGGGCAAAAGAACCGGCTTAAGAACCTCTTTTGTTTTAATGCACCTAAAATATAATTATTTAATTTAAATTGAAAATTAATCCTGGCTTTAGAGTGGAACTATGGGCAAAATACAAAATTAAATACAGTATATGATTCAGTATACACAAAGCAGAATTTGTTTTTCTGAGTATCCATTGTAGCATAGTTGTATTACCTGTTGATCCTGCCAGTGGTTCTTGTATTTTCCAGCTTCCTTAAGCAGACCATGGTGATAAAAAAAAGTAGCAAAGTTTTTATCGAGAAACATAAGCAACAAGCCAAATGTATCAACACAAGCAATCGCTACTTCCCTGTAAACAATTAGATATCAAAATCATCACCTGAAACCTTAATAAAATATGTAGATTTCACTATGGACTGATTGACATTGCTTTGAAATCCATGTTTTAATTAGTGGCCAATTTAAACAGAAAGCATTATGAGTCATTGGAATCTTTTCCTAACACACTTTATAGAGTACAGCTTACGAGTCAACAGTTGCTATTTTCATTACCCTCTCCTTTTCATTAATCTATAAAACAAATAACATAAACACCCCCAAGCCTTTTCTATTTCTTGGTCCAATCAGACATTTGTCTCTGATAACAGAATGTAGAACACGCTTGCTTAGCAGCAGCAAACAAATAACACAAATGCAATACACACTGAATGGATAGATGTTCCACAGATTAGAACTTTTCTTATCTCAGCAGGTAATTATTAATGTTGGGTTTCACCTGACACCCAACACATCCAAGAATGCCTTATGGGCTGTAAGATCAGAACACACAAGCCAATTGGGTAACCTTATTTCTTATTTATACCCGTTGACACAAAATCTCAACCTCCTACTGAGCTGCTTTTTAAGTGCCCAGTGGTTTGCTCTAACTAATTGCAATGATTTATTTATCTTGCCAGTTCAGGTTTTGTTGGAGACTGTTTGCACCCAATACATTGGTGCACTTCATGGAATTGCTTGCTGGTTAAGGATTGGCCTTCAGTGTCATACTGTATGGCTTTAGAGTATTATCTTTCTGTGCAAACACTACAATAAGTAGGGCAGGCTAAAATTTTTTTTCTTAAAGTGTTTGCCAACAAACCAAGGCAGTAAGTAGACAATGATTTCAATTTTATTAAACATTTTTTTAAATTGCTTTAAAGAATACACAATGTATATGTAATCTAATCAATCACTGTTCCAAAGGAATTTACAGTTTAATGTCCTAACCAACAACCACAAGCTGGTCCTTTCCATCAATAGTTTTGTTTAGGTGTATATATCTAAAGTTAAAACTTATTTTTTGTTTGTTTTTTTTATATATAGGGAAAGGTTATAACCTTGGATTTTATTGCTGTCTGTGTCCCTGCTGGCAAGATTCATCATCTCTATTTGTTTTGGTCACCATTGTCACTGGAACAGATAGTGATAAGGAATCCAATTTTACAGTTATGAAGAAGAGAAGGTGAGATGAGGTCTTTCAATAGGGACACCTGTTAGTGTCAACTGACTAAAAGACAAAATCTTTCCAATGAGACACAGATTAAAAATAATTGACATGGTTTGAATCCCTTTTCTATTCAAAACTAAAAAAGACTTTAGATACACTTTAATTTAATTAATTTTACTGATTATTAGGTGGTTCAGTTCTAAATGGTCAAATAGTGGTCTTTGCATTAAGTGGTTGCTGATATTTTGCTTGGATTTGCCTTTCTAAATTATACTTTGTATGACCAGTTATCCCTTTCATGACCAGAGTTCATTGGTGCCTAGATGCTCAGA